TCACATCCGATATGTAAGCGTCTACTTAAAAGGAACTGCACCACGTGGCTGGGATATTTACATCGGCATCTAAGCTTCTACTTCACGTAAGCGTCTGCTGCTACCCTCTAGCTGATGTTGCGCGGCAAGCAATGAGAACAACCGAAAAACAAACAAAGGAAGCACGGCGCTGCCGAAAGTCCTATGAGTAAAGATGACAGGTTCCACGAAATGAAGAACCCTTAAAAAATTGATACAGCACGAGGCTGGGATATTCACATCGACACCTAAGCCTGTACTTGACCAAAACGCCCACTGCAATCCGGCACCTCATGAAAACAACAGCAAAGCTCGAACCGACTGACTGCTAAATCAAGTAGGAATAGATTCGCACTTCTGCTTATGGCATTTCGAAAAAAAAACTACGAGTATTTTTACAACAGTGGTATCATTCACCGCCTTGGAGTATGTCCACCGCAATCCTCAGCCGGATGTTTGGAATGTCGCTTTGGGCTATCGGAAATGGTGGCGGAAAGCCGCGTGCAAGAAATGAAGCGAAGGCGAGCATGAAAACACCGCAGCTCGACCCGTCCGATTGTTGAGGGACACCACGAACAACCACCTTGGGCTCCTGGAGATCCACTTTCGTTTCTCAACCATAATGACAAACTGCTTCGTCACGGAGGTATTGAGTGAAGTTCGCAATCACATCGGAAGAAAAACCGCCATCGTCTTGTACGAGGGAGTCGTAGTACTCCAACCGTTGTTCTCGGAGACACAATAGGGTCCACTGCACTCCATGTTTATGGACAGGAATCAAGACCATCTCGTGCGAGAAAATATCCACATCTTTTGTCCATCTCGCAACCCTATCATGTCGATAGCCGCCACGGACAAGCTTGGTATAGAAAAATGGACTGAAAATGTAAAGAGAGGGACACCTAGGCAACGCAGCGTTGGCAAGCAAGGCCAAGTACGACTCCACCACCTCGTCGGAAAACCATTCCCCCTAAACAAGAGTTTGAAGACTTTTTGTGCTCAACGGAATTGAATTGACCCCTTTGCGAACCGAGCACACCACCTCGTGGCCATTGCTGTAATCTCCACAGACGTTCCGCAACATTCTCAAGTCCGTAGCGCTAAGCTCCTGAGTAGGCAACGGAACGCGAAAACATGATGTAGCCCCAGCTGCACAAACACCCACGAACAAGTGTGAGGAGTGAGCACAAACCCCGTGGTGGAATGGCTAAGAACTGTCTGCCCTTTTCCCAGAAAAGTTGTATCCCCGCTTGTTGAATGTGTCCTTCGCGATGTACTTAGGACACGGGTCTTTCAAGACACCCCGTTTGCCATCGTTATCAGACCCGTCAGACAAAGCAGTAACGCTCTCAATAGACGCAGCCAAATGTTTCCGCAGACAGTCCTCCTTATCTATTTCACAAGCCTTCAGAACCCTGATAGCTCTCTGGGAAAGGCGAGGCATTTGGACCCGTTTAAACAACCCTACACTTGACGACTTCGTCGGTGAAGCGGCCAATGACCTCCCTGAAAGACGTTTCTCGCGCACGGCTTTTAAAGGCTTCATGGACAGGGACATTAATGACCTCACACCTGTAGAACATAGAAAACAACCCACAACCCACAAGCTTTTTTTTAACTAGTGGTAACAGGTACATTAGCCCATGACATCAATTTGGACGAACACAGAGCTGGCCAGTGACAGATATGCGAGTGGTCCTATTCACAAATCTTACCGTGCTCGGGAGCCCTTTGAGGGAACTCGCCCTCCTGTCGCTTCACTGCACCAACGTCCACGGACGATTCGAGGTTGTGGACCTCGGCCACGGCTGTGTCGCTAACCAGCTACTGAGGACAGATGCTCGATCACCCTGTTCGGCACCGCAACGGGTGGACGGAGAATCATGATCTTTTCGCTCTGGATCCATCTTGATGCTGACGGCCACCTCACCGCCTTCCACGGAGGATTCGACGTTCTGCATCTCGGCCACGCCTGAGTCGCTAACCAGCTCGGTGGCTGTCGAGTCGTCACCCAACTCTATGGCTTCATGAAGCACCATTCCCCGAGCGGTGCTCAGGACAGACGCTCGGCCACCCTGTTCTTCACCGCAACGGGTGGGCGAAGAATCACCATCTTTCCGATGTGGATCCGTCCGGATGTCGACAGTCACCTCACCGCCTTTCTCATCGCCATGAACCCGAGCTCCCACCACGAGTTCTTCGTCGCCAAGAACGAGAGCTTGCACGGACGTCCACTTACCTCCCTTAACGACACCCTCTCGCGTCATGGCCACAACCGAGCGACTGTGCAGAACCACTTCGGACGTCCCGATCACCAGCGCTCGTGCGTGGAGCCACTTCACGTCTTCACGAGCCGGCCCGTGTCGGGTCTCCTCTCCCCGCTGTACAGCATGCGCTTCCCCCGGAGCTCCTGCACTCTCGCTGTCAGTGCCCACGGACGCACCCTCCGAAGCATGACGTTCACACTTGCTACCCCCGGTCTCCAACACTTTGCGAGACTGCCAGCGTTGGGTCTCCTCTTCCCGATGTACAACACGCATTCCCGGAGAGCGCTCGTCTTCCCCAGGAGTGTGACGTTCATTCTCGCTACCCCCGGGCTCCAACACTCCTGGAGCGGGCCCCTCCAGCACGTCGCGAGAGCGCCAGTCTCGAGTCTCAACACATGAGAAAGGAGGCGAGCAGGGTAACCCTGTGTCCAGCTGAAGATGAGGGGGCCAAGACGTCGCATTTTCTTGGCCCCGCGGAACTGTTGCGTGAGGAGCACTTATGGCGTAGGGCGACGGCAGCAAATCCGAATGTATTCGGAGTTTGTGGCGGTCGCCCGAGCCGAGGGAACCGGAGGTCGCACCTTCGCTCCTTCGCAATGCAGGCATCCCGCCCTCCAGGCAAAACGAAGACGCGCCCTCTTTCAGGAGCAAGGTGTTGAGCACAGGAGACCTCTGCTGCGCACGGCGGGAT